CTTCATAAGAAAGAGCCTGAAAATCAAAGAAAGCATTTTCCCTTCATTATATTATTTTCTCCTTTAGAATGAACCTGAGAGGGGAAAAAAAAAAGGCAAAAAAGCAAAATGTCAAATTACAGCAGAGAGTTTTTTCCTCTTACGTTCAGTAGGTATTAGATCACAGCTAAAGTGAATAAATCATAATGAGTGAAATGAATTTGCAGAGTTTAATCAAGAGGAAAAATAATATTGTACTAAAGACACAGGATGTAAGTGTTACAGGTTCAGTTCTCTGCTCTACTGCAAATTTCTTGCTCAGTCTTGGCTTCCCTAGCTATTAATGTGACAGTATTACTTTCTCTTCCTATCCTTTACTCATTTTGTTCAGCTGGGCTATAAACTTTCAGAGGCAGGAGGCTGCCCCTCAGTGCATGTCTGTACAGTATCCAGCATAAAAAGCCATTATCTCACATGGACTCTTTGAGCCCTAACTGAAGACAAATTACTTCAAAACTTTATTTTCAAAGATGTCTGACATGAAAAAAAGCATAGTGAGTAAACAGATACAGAAATAGAAGGTGCATTAGAATTTTACCTTGAGAGCATATTACACTTTTTAATTTGTATTGCCCTAATACTATTTTCTAGGCAGAGCTTAAATTAAGTTTGACCTCCAAAGATTTGAGACTCTGGGGATCTATCGATGGAAGGCATTTCCTCGGCTTTCTGGAATACACTTTTACACAGAGGATTAGCAGAAGTACTCAAGCTATTAGTTTCTGCTTTAGAAGACAGCATGACAGCGAAGAGGTATTATGAGAATCCATAACCTTCACATTTATTCCCAGCATAAAAAGTCTGAAATAAGCCCTGTACATAGGCCTTCAGGATCTTATACAACTTGCCTATTTTACCAAGTCTTTTGATGGAACATGAGTATCCAGAGAGTGCAAGAAATATTAGAAAGCATCATTCAATGAGTCTGTCTGCATTATGCAGTTATAGGTTGACCCACTATGAACTTCTCTATTGATTTTGAATCTTGAAATTTTAGATTAGTTTTGGCTTTAAAATACACTCTTTTTTTCTTTCAAAAATCTGAAAACACTGCACACTTACTTTTTTCAGATTTTTTTTTTTTGGTCTTCTTCAATGCAATAGCTGAAGTCTGTAGGACTTGTGGAATCCAATGCAAGTGAGTTGCTATAAATAAACATCCACTACGTTCCAGTAACTGACCTTTGGCCCACTCTTAGTGTCTCCCAAGGTAAAGTAGAATTCACTAGCTTAAACCATTCATCATGACCAATAGCTCTGAGGACAGATCTTTCTTACAACAAATAAAGGACCAGTGTTGCATGTGGCGGTAATAGGTTGCAGTCTAATACTACCCAAAAGGACAAAAGTTACTACCTTGAATGTTTTAGAAGTCATTAGTTAAGCACATCAACTAGTTTAAGACGTTCTTGCATCATTAGTGTTACTTTGCAGGATTGAGTCATGTTCTCTTAAGCAGTGCTGCTGGACTGTGTTACGACAGGTTTTTTAAGTCTGATTTTGAAGTCATATTGGAAAGATCTCATCCATTCACCCAAGGAGGAAGAAGTTCCATAATGCCTTTAAGTAAACAGTCTCTTACTATGCAGATTATGAGCAAGTAATAAGCAAGCAAAAAGTCTTATTGCATTTCAGCTTTCCATGTTCCATTCTCACACAGGTTTTCGTTGTACTTTCAAACTTCACCTTTACTGGAAAGTAGTATTTTAAAGGTACTGTTACATATTTTCTTAAAAGAGCAGGGCTAGCTGATTGTACATCCAGTTGCTGGAATTAAATACAGCTTTTTAAATTAATATATTTTTACTGCCACACATGATTTTCATTGCAGTAAGATACAGAAGAACAATTTTTAAGAGCAACAGTATTGTGGTAGTTAGGTACTAACTACACTGTGTGTTACACAAACACTGAAGATACTCCCTGCCTAGAAACTTAATCTTCTTCAAGTGTTAATGAATACAATGTTTATAAACACATGAAAGATAAATGTGAAACAGACATACGTTTAAATATCAGAGCAAAGCTATGTAATGACAGTACACCGGATGCCAAAGATTAGCATTTGTAACTTTCCTTCTTGTTGCTTCTTGTAACGCATTGTTATAATTATTGCTCCCGTGGCTGCAGCTGCCAACACAGACTCTCTCGTCAATACCTAAGAGACATCTGAGCACCACATGAGTTTCATTTCCTCTCTACTGTGTAAGCAGCATTTGTCAAATTATGCTTTACATAAATTTGAAACAATTGTTCTATAAAACAAAGATGTACCAATAGATGAAAAATTATGATCAGAGATGCACTGGCAATTAGAATGAAACAGCTGTAATTGACCAGAGGAACTAGTGACAATGTCAGTAACAACTGTTCTCCATACCACTGTATGTTTTGTGATACTGCATGTTAAAAACAACCATAGTCCCAAAAAAGGGCTACAGTACATACATACATATACAGATTCATTATCATCAGAGTCCTTCCACAGTGGCTCTTCTGCTTCTCCATCAGTATGTTTCTACTTCCCAGATTCCCTTATTCAACAGACCTAAAACAGGCCTGTCTCTTCCATTTTTGTATCTGCACTCAACACATACAAAGTAACTTCCCCCTATTATACCAAGAGCTTTTCATAACAACAAAGAGCTTTCTCCAGATCTCACTGAGAGGAGTTATTGGGGGCGGGGGGGTTGGGCTGGGGTGAGGGGGGAAGGGAAGGTGTTAAATAACTACTTTATGCAGACATGATGCTTCTTAAAATCCTTATTCTTGGCTTTGAAATATATCTGTTTGCCTGCAACAATTGGATGCTACAAGAAAAACAGTAATCACAAAAATCACTCAGTTGCCTACAGAAAAAAGTATTCTCTTTAAAGAAGAAAGCAGAAGTTAAACTAGGACAACTCAGGTTTAGCAAACTAGATTTAACAAACCAGCACTTTGACAATCCACCCTTATGGTTCTTCCTTTGGTTGCCACTCAGCCTACATTTTCAGTGTCACCCATGACACGCTCCGGAGGCATGTGATTACTTAAAGTGAAGTCAGATTCTAACATAATCCTGCATCATTTACAGTCTCACACTGGACTGTCTTCCCGATCAGCCTGCAGGGGCCAGAACAGTTTCCACAAAAAACATCTTAAAATAAGAATAGAGGGAGGCATTGTGACCTCCAGAATATAAACCAGGGCATGGAAACCAGTTCCAGCTTTGACACTAAAAATTAATGTGAGAAGGTTGCTGCTGTGGAAAAAAAAAAAAAAAACCCCACACACAAAGAAAAACCCTGACTCTTGAATCTCAAAGTATTTTCGTTGCCACCCAAAACCAGAGAAAAAATTTGCATGTTCCAAACATTAGTTTAACTTCTATTCTTTTTACATTAGCAAGGCAACTGTCATAATGTTAAGCCCTGCAAGAAAGATGTCTTCAGGAAAGAAATGGAAAAGGAAAGGTAAAAATCTTATCCTTTCACAACTCTATTTATTTGATTGATTTATGAGCTTTGCACTTTTGACACACACCACTCACTCTCAAAAGGTTTGTGAAAGTCAAATTCCAAACAAGGCAGAATAAGTGAAGCAACAGAGAAATGGCCTCTTCTGTTGTTGAACATTTAAATGCATCCATTTATTACCTGAACCGACTCTTCTTACTTTGTTCTATGATTTCTAGAGACAGCAGGTAGCTTAAGACTGTATGTTATCAGATTCTTTAACTGGAACAATTGTAATACTGAATTGGAGCCCGGGGGCTATAATTAATCATGCACTGAATTAAACAGGGTTAATTGAAAATAGTTTTTGGTAGTCTAACAAAGATATGCACACAGGTGTATTTGGATTAAACACCTCAGCCAGTCTAATGGTCAGTCTCGCTCCACCATTACCCATGCTGCCTTACCTCCACCCTAACCCTATCCATATAATCATCTGTACACACTTTTTTTCTGGGTTAGTTTTCTGCCAGTTTAGTGAGCTTAATTGGCTGATCCAGGAATCACTCTGGTGCAATGGAAATGACAGGCATACATTGCCTGGAGTGGGACTGTACCTTTCATCAGCAACTATATTTTAGACCAGCTTACCTCATCTCATAGCACTTTTTTCATAAGCATCCTATCCCTTCTAAACTGCATAGCTTTCAGCTTCTTGGTTCTTGTTGTGTTAATTGAATCACTTACTCAATTGCCATATTCTCTTCCACTGAATTTCGCAGTGGAGAAATCGGAAATGAGGAGAAATGAAAATAAGGAGAAAAAAATCTACCCTCTCTCTTTCCCCCTCCAGAAACATCAGAGATTGTGTACATATTAAAAAAAAAAAATCCTTTTTTCCTTTTTGTGCCGTATTTTGTTTTTAGCACTGTTAAACTCACTGATCCTTTTTCAAATCAAACTCAATGAAAAAAGTGCATGCACATGATACTAATGCTGTGTAATTATGTAAATACAGAAAACAAGACATGCTTCTTAAGCTTCCAAAACAGTTTATGTCACTCTGAATACATCCTGCTAATCTAATACCATAAAATATATTTAAAATATTAACTTTTCTGAAGGAAAGACTAAAAAAATTTGAAGCTTAATTTAACTAACAGCCACCACACTTTATGCCAATACTATAAATACCCAATACATTTATGTCGTTACAAAGCATTCCATTTCGGCACATACAGATTGAACAAATGAGGTACAAGAATTTTGGACAGCCTTTTTTAAGAAAATAAGCCTGTCTGCCCTAATATCCCAGTTTTATTCCATACAGTGGCAATATTTTTTCTAAGAGAACTCTATTGCAGTCAGCTTATCATGGCAGAAATGTTGTGAATAGCTTTGACAGACAGGAGTTTTGCAATGAGAAGGTCATAGGCTTAGCTTGGATCTTCCCTTGTCTGATTAGACAGAGGGTATTTTACCACAATTGGCTCTAGTCACTGACTGATTTTCGTTCCCAAATACCTGTCATCACCGTCACTGATGCATTCAGGAAGAGCAAGACTACAGCCAAACAGCATGATGTGTTGATAGCAGCTGAGACGATTGAGATAACTGAAGAACTTCAGGAACTTTTCCATTTCAATACTTTTGACAATGGAAAGAACTGAAGTTATAGTGGTGTAGTTATATGGCAGCATTTGGCACTGGCTGTTGGTGATATTTATGCAGGCACCTGTGAAATCAAAACAATATATTTAGAACAAAAGTATCACCATTTAATAGTTGGTTCAAAGCATATATTGAATTGACTAGTCAGTACATACAATATATAAGCAATGCCTGTACCTCACAGATAAGATGGCATTCCATAATGCTATCATAATACTGTCAAAAAATAAGTATCTAAGAAAAAAAGGATCTGGAGAAGCTTGGTAGCTTAGTTTGGAAAACCAAATAAACTTTTAGATATTTTCACAAACCTCTGACTCTCTACAAAACTGGACTAGAAATAACATAAAACAAATTTCTTTCTGACACAGGTTGGATGAACGCTCCATAAGAATAGCCTGGATACAGCCAACTTTGGCTGTAACTAAGAATGGAAGTCATACAAAAAAATTAAGGCTAATTGGGTTCTGAAGCTGCTCTGGTTTTGGTGTTTCCATAAAGTTTCTCTTTTCACTACCATTCTACTTTGCAGCTGGCTTTCCTGCCAAAATCATCAACTTGCTTACCTATTTTTCCCAAGGTGATAGTATTATCTCCACAGTCTTTCTTCTCTATCCTACCAACATAGAATTATCTGATTTTACAAGTTGAACACCTACCCTGTCCTAAACTGGTGTCCCACTCTTGACCTACCAGAGGAACCTTTCTCTGCTAATGCCCTGTCACATGCAGTAGGCTCTCTCAGTTATGCATTATCAGCAGGTTAACTTACTACATGAAGTTCTTAAGAGTGAGTTTCACAAGCCATACACCAAATTCAGAATTTTCATCAAGAACAAAACTATTAAAATCTAATATTTATGACAGCTCCCTACTTTGATGAAGACCTTTCTAGGCCATCTACTCAGGCTCTGGCAGCATTTTTTTCACACTCAGAGCATATCCACGCTGTACAACAAGCAGGGACCTCAGCTCATTCTCAAGACTAGACTCTGCCACTAATCATGCTGTAAATCATCCCTGCTCTAGCCTTCTGAAGGGGGAAAACTCTTGAGCGCATTCAAGCCTTAGCTCTCCTGTTCTCATTATCTGAGCAAACTAGATACAGGTAGCACTGAATGGAGTAGATCCTTTCCATCGTCAGACGTTTTGGGACTGGCTTCTTTCAAGAATTGTGTGGGTCATTTACACCCGACCTCCCGACTTGATAAAAGCTGGGGACGTAAAGCACACTGGATTCAGCTCTAAGGGTTCAGCAAGTCTGTCTCTTCCTCAGCTTTCAGTCTAGACCCAGTCTCCACTGTCTAAATGCACTAGTGGCAAATTCTGCATCTA